GGAGCGAGCTGGTCGAGAGGGGCAGCAGGGCTACGGCAGCTACAGGAGGAGGAGGCGAGGCTGCGGTCAGCGGTGGAGGACCGCAGGAGGGAGCACCGGGAGCTCGAGCTTGGCGTGGAGCATGTACAGGGGCTGTACAGGCACGTAAGGGACACGGCAGGGGAGATGCTTGAGGAGCTGCGGGCGCTGGAGACGGAGCAGAAGGAAGCAGGAGCGAGCTGGTCGAGAGGGGCAGCAGGGCTACGGCAGCTACAGGAGGAGGAGGCGAGGCTGCGGTCAGCGGTGGAGGACCGCAGGAGGGAGCACCGGGAGCTCGAGCTTGGCGTGGAGCATGTACAGGGGCTGTACAGGCACGTAAGGGACACGGCAGGGGAGATGCTTGTAGATGTTGGTCATCTTTATGATAATTTTTTGGTTTTGAGCTCATCGCATCTCGATTGTGTTCAGTTGACGTGCTCGGTACTTGATGGTCTGGACAGCTCCATGGTTTCATTTGAAACGATGTCGTCTTGCCTTCATCAAATCAGGCAGTTTCTCATCAAGACGTGCTCGGAGCTGGAGGGCTCCATCAGCCGCAAGGAGCAGGTCACCTTGACGCTTCGTCAGGTTTACGCTATGTCAGTCAGTATCAGCTCGCTGGTTCAGGAGATCTTGTTCGAAGCAGCTGCCATGTCCGAGCAGTCAGGATCCCTCCGAGAGCAGCTGACGGGCCTTGAGGACGAGCATCGAGCCCTTGCTGGGGTTGTGCTGGAGCAACGAGAAGAGGTCGGCCATCTTGAGGATCAGAGGGACGCGATCGAGCGAGACCTCGTCAGAGCCTCGCAAGCCCTCGGGTCAACTCTGCGGTCTTTGATAGACGGGGAGGCTGAGCTGGGCCGGCCCATGTCGTGCAGGTCTCTGCATGGGGCCGATCTTGACTTCTCTATCTCCAGCTACGAGAGCGAGGACGGGCTGGTCGAGGAGGAGGAAGAGGAGGGCAGACTGAGGGAACAGAGGGGACAGCAGAGGCTGTCAGGTCAGCCCCAGCTGCAGCTTGTCCTGAATGCCATCGGCGAGTCGAAACGGGAGATTGAGCTGCGGGTAGAGCGGCTGGAGCAGAGGGTCGCGGAGCGGACCCTGCAGCTCAAGGAACTGGACAGGACAGTCGATCACGCTGACCACCTTGCGTCAGAGATTTGTGAGCTGTACAGCTCGAGGCAGGCGGAGCTTGCGCAGCTTGAGGACAAGCTCGCGCAGGTGAGATTGAGGTGCCGGGGATAAGGGGAGATGAACTTTGTTGGCAGGTGGAACAAGAGCTGCAGTCAAAGACGAAGATGCTGCAGGAGATGAGCTCCTTGGCTGACGCCTTGCGCGAGGTGAAAGTTGAGAAGCAAGTCGCGGACAGCCAGCTGCAGCAAGTGAGGGAAGTGACAGAGGTAGCCCGCAAGCAGGCGGACGACATCCGGGTCTGGGAGGACTTCATGGAGAGGGAGGCGGAGAAACTGGAAGTCGTTGTTGGGAGGTGTGAAGATCAGGTCCTGAGAATGTTGAGAGCTGCTGAAGAGATGAAAGGAACTCTCGATCACAAACAGCGTCAGGTAGTGAAAGTCTCTTCGTCCCCTTCCTCCTCCCTCCTACTCTGACCTCCTCCCTCCCCCTCCCTCCCTCCCTGACTCTCTCCCTCCCTCCTCTTCTCTCTCCCTCTCCCTTCTCTTCCCATCCTTTCCGCTCACTCTGTTTCTGACAAGCCAATCTTCGGCACAGGTGAACTGCAAGAAGGCGGAGCTGGAGATCCACGAGTCGATCCTAGACAGGGTGCGGCGAGAGGCAGAGGAGCTGTCGGACGAGGTGTCAAAGAGGATGTTCCATGCGAGCTTGAAGGAGACGCAGCTCACGGAGATGGAGAGGTCGATCGGGAGGAAGTCGGCGGAGTTCGAGCAGCTGTCGCTGGTCATGTTGGAACTGAGGCAACAGATGGAGCGAACCACCCTCTCGCACTCTGACCGAGTGAAGGTGCTCTGCAGAGAGTTGGAGGGCATCGTGACCGATGTCGGAGTCGTCCGCGCTGATGTTGAGGGTCTGCAGGGAGACAGCGAGGAGAAGAGCCAGCAGGTTATCATGCTGAACGAGACGCTCCTGGACGTGTCCCGGAGCCTCCACGACGTGCGATCGCAAGTCGACGAGTCGAGGGTCGAGCTGGAGGAGCTTCAGCTGGACGAGCAGCGAGCAAGGCAGAGCCTAGCGGAGCTCGATCACGAGGTGAAGAAGCAGAGAGAGGTGACGGAGAGACAGCGGATGGAGATTGCCCTCTCAGAGAAGATCGTGGACAAGGTCGATGGAGCCTTGCAAGGAGCTGCAAGCCAAGTAGAAAGGCTGCAGGAGGAGCTGACGAGGACGAGGAGCATGGTGGAGGATGATCGCCGGCTCCTCCACGACTCGCTGGCCTCGGAGAGGAGCCAGTGGGAGAGGGAGAGGGAGGCTGGGCAAGCAGACTTGCATTCGTTCCTGCAGAGGCTCTCTGCGTGCAAGCGGGAGGCGGAGGAGTTTCACAAGGAGAGGATGAAGGAGCTCGAGTCTACCCTGAGCGATGAGACCGCAAGGATCGCAGACTCGGAGAGAAGGTCCCAAGAGGTAGAGGAGGAGCTGAAGGCCTTGAGAGAGAGGAAGGCAGCGATGGAGACCGACATGAACACGTCCAGGGAGGAGGTGCGGAAGGAGCTCAAGTCGATCAAGGAGCTGATTTTGGAGGAGAGGATGGTACTGCGGCGCCTCGGAGCAGAGAAGGAGGACCTGGCTGCCTCGCTCACGTCAGTCAGGGACGAGGTCGTTCGCTCGCAAGACATGCTGAGCGCGGTAGAGGACGAGGTCGAGCGTGCAAGGGATGAGCTGAACAGGAGGAAGAGGATGACGGAGGAAGAGGAGGAGAGGCTGAGGGAAGCCTGCCAGGAGCTTGCCAGCGCCGAGATCCAGCTGGAGGGGAGGAAGAAGGAGCTGGAGGAGACAAGGAGGAAGATCAACTCGGCCTCGGAGGAGCTCGAGGAGACGAGGCTGAGGAGTTTCGAGCTGGAGGAGCAGAACCGGGTGGAGAGGGAGCACGCGCACCGGCTGAGGGAGCAGCTGAGGGGGATGAGGAGCGAAATGCTGGAGCTCTCTAGGGTGCCCATGGGAGGTTTGGCGGGGAGGGACAACGAAAGTTTCGACGCGCAGAAGTTGTTGGACCTGAAGTTTGAAAGTTTCCAGCCCATGGAGGGAGAGGGAGAGAGTGACGTGTGCAGGCTGCTGAGCGACTCGCTGCAGAGCCTGAGAGCGTCGAGGCGAGAGTTCCAGGAGGAGGTGGGGAGGCTGGAGGAGGTACTCTCGGACCTGCAGTCACAGGTCCGTCAGAAGCGAGGAGAGCTCCAGCGGCTGGAGCGGGAGCAGCGGGAGATGTCAGCCGGGATGGAGGAGAAGAGGAGGGAGCTGGAGTCGTTGAGAGAGACCTGCGGGAGCCTTCAGGAGAGGCTGTCTGTCTCGCAGCAGAGGATAGACGAGATGGAGGAGGAGAGGAGGAGGAGGGCAGCTCAGGTACGGTGGAGGAAGAAGTTGTTTCCCTGTGAGTGACGGGCCTGTCTCTGCAGATAGAGCGAGAGATCTCCGAGCTCGAGGGGAGGAAGGGCAGGCTGAGGAAGAAGGCGGAAGAAGAGGCGTCTGCCAGCACCCACCGCCATGAGGAGCAGGTGGACCAGGTAGCGCTGAAGGGAGGGAGGAGAGAGCTATCTCGACTCTGACTTGCAAGCAGATGAAGAAGGAGCTGAAGGCTCTGCACGAGCTGAAGGTGCAGGAGGAGGAGAAGGCTCTAGTTGTCCGGCAGAAGCGATTCGAGGCCGAGCAGGAGCTGCTGCAGGCAGAGAGCAGGGTGCAAGTCCTCAGGGAACAGCAGAACGCCGCGGAGAGAGCAGCGCAGGAGGTGCGAGAGGAGGCTGAGAGGATAGAGAAGGAGCGAGAGGACAGGAGCGCACAGGTGCTGGAGCTATCCCGCAAGCTCGCCCTGGTTGACCGGCAGGCGAAGGGGAGGCAGGAGGAGGTCGGGACACTGCAGATGATGATTGGCAAGCTCGAGCAGCGCAAGTCGGAGCTCGAGATGAGGCTGGAGGAGGAGGAGAGGCGGCTGCTGCGGCTCCACGAGGCCATCGGAGCATCGCAGGCTCAGCTGCACGCGAGGGAGAGAAGCCTGAGCTCGCAGGGCCAGGAGGGGTGGGAGAGGAAGGCGATCGAGCAGCTGCGGCGCATGGCGATGGAGGAGGAGGAGGAGGAGGAGCTGGATGTCGTGGTGCTCAAGAAGAGCGAATTCGAGGAGAAGGAGGAACGGCTCCACTCGCTGCAGGACGAGCTCCAGTACTGCAAGGTGAGCAGACGCCCACCTGCGCTTGCCCAGCTGACTCCTCGCAGCACCTCGTCGACACGCTGCGCAGAGACCTCAAGGCTGTCGACGAGCTCAAGGACTCGTCGAGAGCTAGCGCGGGAGAGAGGGGAGGAGGAGAACTGGAGGTGGGGGACGCGTCCTGAGGGAGGAGCCTCTCACCCTGTCGCAGGAGTCGCTCTATGATCAAGGTCTCTCCCGTGCCGCTGCCCGGGTCCAGGTCGCGCTGCTGCGGGAGGACGTGAGACGATGGCGGAGCCTCGGGCTGAGCTGACGCGCATGCAGGACAAGCGGGAGACGCTGGGAGATGGGACGATCGTGAGGCTGCAGCAGCAGGTGACTGACATGCTCAGCCTATGCCCTCCTGCTCCTCTGAACTCTTCCTCCCCCCTCCTCTCTCCTCTCCCCCGCCTTCGTAGTGTGCTGCCTCCCATCCCCTCTGACCCCCTTGTTCCAGCTGGAGGCACTTCGACTCGCAAGGACGATTCGCCTGCAGGGGAAGTGATGGAGGACGAGGACGAGGAAGAAGGACAAGCGAGGAGGGGGAGCGAAGGAGGAGAGAGAGAGGAGAGAGGGAGGGGAAGGGGCGAAGAAGGAGGGAACAAGTCGTTGATGTTTGAATTCAATCAAAGGTTGTCTCGTCCGGCGAGTCATCCTCCTCGTCCCAGCTGGCATTCTCCTCCGGGTCAGAAAACTCGACCTGATGAACTGAGATCAACAGTGAAGGGGAAGGAGCGAGTGAGGGAGCGAGGGAGCGAGAGATTGTGGGTTGAGCAGGTGAAAGGGGGTGGAAGAGGAAAGAGGAGGTTTCAGGAGGCGCACCTGTACGTCATACTTCCAATTTGGATCGCCTGGTTTGATTGCGTTCTTCTCAAACTCGATGTTCATGAGTTGCTTGTATTCCAACAATTCGTTCTGGTTGTTCGTGAGATAGAGAAACACTTACAAGGCAAAACAAGACCTCGTCGACTCTTTGCAGGTCAAGATCCCTCTTCTTCACCTTGTCCAGCTTTTCTGTATCCTCCTCCCCGTCCTTCTCTTTCCCTGTCCTACCACCCGGCTTCTGAAAACAAGCATGACTTGACTTGACTGTTTCCATCGATCTTCTCACATATTCTGAATCTGCTTCCTCGTCCTCAAAGTCGTCGGCATAATCAGGAATGTCTTCATCCTCTATAATGCTGGCGAGAGTCTCGTCACTCTCCCTCGCAACTTCTCATCTCTCACCTGTTATCCAGCGACACCTCCTTGCTCGTGGTCGCTTTGTCCTCGGCTCTCTCCTGCCGTTAAATTCAATCAGAAGGGTTTTACGAGTGCTGACGTCATACGGGTTTGTCGGCAGCATGCGCTGGTTTTGCATCATGGAGAATCTTTGTAGCGTCAACTTGACTGCTCGTGGTGTTTGCTGCGGCCTCTTCCTGTGCCTCCTCTTCCTCCCTCTTCCTTTCCTCTCTCTTCTCCTCCTTGACTTCTTTTTCTTGCCGGCCGATCTCGCTCTTTCTGTCGCTCGAGGCCGAGCTCTGACCATGAAGGGAAGGCAACGTCGAGGACTTGAGCGGGGATGTCACCTCAGCGTTCATGAAGTGTTTCGTCGCATCCTCCAGCTCATCTGCATCTGCAGCAGAGCTCAACGCAAGTCTCTGTCTCCTCCGCCACTTACCTGGGTTCAAAGATTTCTCCTGCAGGTACAACTTGGCGATCAAGCTCTTGATCTGATCGCGGTTGACGGAGTTCGGAACGATGGTTCGGCTCAACTTGCTCCAGAATTTCCTCTCGCACTGCTCGCAGCTCTCAAACCTCTCCATGTCGATACGAAAGCTGCGATGCCTGAGCTTGCCCTGACGGAGGCATCAGAAAGAAAGTAACTACGTGTACATGCTGACCGTGTTCCCATCGACGTACTCAAAGACCATGGTCTTGGTAGCAAACTTGATGGCTACTCGTCTTGGCTGGATCAAGTCTCTCGTCTTGCCCTGACTCTTCTTGGCTTCTGCACATTGAACCGTCAAAGAGCAGGAATTCGATGTAATTCGCCAACCTTCTGCGTTCAAGTTCGTTTCCTCCTTCGCATCTTGACCTTGATGCTCCGGCAGTCTCCTGAAAGAGTCTTAGCTTCTTCTTACCCAAGTTCTTGTTCAAAATCATCGTTCTCTGCTCCCAACCTCACATGTTCCCTCCCATTGTTTAGTCCTGATAACATGCTAACAAAGCTTGGTGCGTTTCATCTCATCTGCACGGTCTGTATCGCTCCTCTCGTCTCATTTCAGACCATTGACATCTTCTTCTTCCTCCTCCCCTTCTATCTCACCCTTCCTCGATCGTGTTCCTCCTGTGAATATCCCTCCCTTGTTGCCTACCTCGCTCTCTCAGATTTCCCTTTCTCCCCTCTCTGCCTCTTTCTGTTCCTGTTTTCCTCTTCCTCTTCCTCTACCTCTGCCTCTGCCTCCCCCTCCCTCCTCTTCCATGTTCTCCTTCTCCTCCCTCTCCTTCCTCTTCCATGTTCGCCTTCTCCTCCCTCCCTTCCTCTCACCATCCTACCTTGGCAACGGCACCAGCTTCGCCTTCCCCGCCATGTAAAGTTGAATTTCAAAACCACATGTTCAACTACTAGAACCCTCTGATAATAGAGAGTTGCTGCCCTCAGCCCATATGAATCACAATCTCGCGGGGCGGGCCCGTGATGGGAATCGGACACGGACCGCTCGGAGCCTCGGACGGCCCGGCCGAGGCTGCCGCCGCCGGCCGCGCCCGGCGCCGGTGCCCGGCACTTCGAGCCGCTGAGCCCGGTGCCCGCCGGGAGCCTGCGAGGCTTCAGGTATCAATCCTGCCACCGTCACGCCGCGTTCGTCGGAACCTTTCGGAAGGGCGAGTCCGTTCAACTTGCCGCAAGTTGCTTTACGGAGGCTTCAGTCACGGTGGCCCCAACTTCGTTGTCCTTCGCTCGAAACTTGACGGAGGCTTCGGAAGTTCGCCCGCCCCGGACCTGAGACGGCCCCCCGACAGTGCCGCCCGGTTTGCCAGTCACGGTTGGTCACTCAGCCTCCGCTGGCAGCCTGCAGGGCCCGTAGTACTCAGTACCGTACGCCCGGTAACACTGCTCGGATCGGATTCACATGATTGCACCGTCACGGCTGTCAGTGAGGTCCGAGGCTCGCGGCCGCCGGGGGCGGCCGGGCTACCGAACGGTAGTACCGTGTGACGGGCGGGGCCGGGCCCCGGCCCGGGCGAGTCGACTCAGGCTGAGTCGTGTGATGCCATGCTGCGATCGGACTCGCCCCGGCGGGCCGGGATGATCATCCGATCATTCCGAGTCATGCCGGGCGGGGCCGCGGCCCCGGGCACGGCACAGGAGTCCCGGCGAGTCCCGGCCCCGCCGGGCCCCGGCGGGGCCCGGCCGAGTCATATGATAGGATTTTCAAGCCTGAACCCTGAGTCGAACGTACTCAAGACGCAAAGCCGCGCATTCGCCCTTCTGACCTCAAACCATGAGGATGAGCGATGGAAGGCGAACATGGGCCACATGAAAGAAGACGAAGAACGATCGAGATGAGAGGAGCGATCAGAATGAGAGGAGCGATCAAGATTCATCATGTGTGACATATCAGTGTAGATCCTTGAGCCTGCTCAGTTCATGACCACCATGGCGAGTCAGGAGGTATCAAGGGCCTTGCACATCCGAGGGTGCGAGGTGAACTTTCCTCACACTCCATACTCTTCACAGCTGGCGATGATGGATAAGACCATTTTCGCACTGAGGAACGAGAAGAACGTGCTGCTTGAATTGCCAACAGGATCTGGGAAGAGCCTTAGCCTCCTGTGCGCAGTCTCAGCATGGCTGCAAGCTGCAGAGAGGGAGCAGCAGCAGCAGGGACAGCTCAGACCCGAAGGCGACAATGATCTCAATGGCCTCCATGGCATGGATCCTATGCATGATGACGACGACGACATGGATGAGGATGAGGATGAGGATGAGGATGAGGATGAGGATGTTGGTGGAGCTGCTGGCGGTAACGAAGGCGATGTCAATGATGTAAGGCAGGAAGACAAGGACAGAAAGGCTCGTAGAAAATCTCGTCGCTCCCCGAAGATCTACTTTGCCAGCAGAACTCACTCGCAGATAGCACAGCTGGTTGAGTTGCAGAGATTGACATGGTGCCTTGCTAATGTGCTGTGCAGGTACGCGAGCTGAGGAAGACGAAGTATTCACCAAGGATATGCGTGTTGGGATCCCGTGAGCACTACTGCATCAACCCTCGAGTGATGGCGTCGGAGAAACCCAAGGGAGAAGAATGTTGGAAGGGATCATGGGATGTAACGAGCTGACTGAGCCGCAGGCAAGGCGAAGTTGAAAGAGAACAGCTGCTCGTTCTACCATGGCGTCCAGAGGCTGGAGAACCACAAGGACCTGCAGCCCCATGGGAAGTTGAGACTCCACGACATCGAAGGCAGAGATCGACCTCCTGTTGTCTCCTGCCGGTTGTGTGACTTGCTCCGCCTCAGACTTGGTCTCTCTTGGCAAGAAGGTTCACGGATGCCCATACTTCGCCGCGAGATCTCTTGCGAAACGAGCCAACGTAATCTTCTGCCCGTACAACTACCTGGTGACGATGGGAGGCTGCTGAGCGAGCTCGCCTGATGGAGCCTGAGAAGGTGGAGCCAGCGATACGCGACGCCATGGGGGTCGAGTTGGAGGGGAACACAGTGATCATCGACGAGGTAGGGGAGGATGCTTGCCTGCATGTCCGCGATCATGAGCTCAAGTTGACTCTCTTCCATGCCAGGCTCACAACATCGAAGACGTGTGTAGGGAGGCAGCAAGCCTTGAGGTCAGTGCGTTTGGTTGCTGCTGTTGAGAATATTTTGACGGCGAGCAGCTGAAGCATGAAGATCTTGTTGAAACGAATAGACAGTGGGAGGAGATGCAGTTTGCCGAAGATGCACATGTGAAGTCCTGGGTGTTATGCCGCACCATTGACCTCGCAAGCAGAACTACATGTTGCTGGATGCAGTTGTCCGAAACCTAGCAAGCTACATGAAGGAGCAAAGTCAGAATCTGATTCAACAGAACCATCTCTACTCTTACAAGATCCAAAGCGGTATTCGAGTTTGGTTCCTCTCCCTCGATCTCATCTGCATGGTACATCAGGGTTTATTGCTACAGATGTTTTTCGGAACGCGGGAATCAACGAAGAGACTTTGAAACCTTTGAACTCTTTTCTTCAGGTGAACTGTGCCCTCTTCACGCCTCCCCACATAACGATCCGTCATCTACAGAAAGCGATCAAGAAACTGGACGAGGTGGAGAATCAGAGAGAAGAAGAATCAAGTCCCTTGCCCCCAGCCAAGTCTCTCAAGCTCGTTCAGGACATTTTCTCCAAGGTTGGAGGGGGTGGAAGCTTTTGCACCAATCACACGACTCTCCGCCTGCAGGCCCAGCTGTTGTTCCAGAACCCGTTTGACTACAGACTTGCTATCGAGCAACGAACTACGAGGGAGGAGCGAGGGGGGAGAAGGCCGGGCCAAGCCAAGTTAGAGCTGAGCATGAGCCTTTGGTGCCTCAACCCTGCTGTGGCTTTCAAGGCCGTCTCCTCTCAAACCAGGTGGACCGGAGCCGAGCTCTGTCCCAGCTGACACTCCAGCAGGGCTGTCATCCTCACGAGTGGAACGCTCTCCCCCATCACGTCGTTTGCAACGGAGCTGGGCACGACCTTTCACATGACGTACCAGGCTCCCCACGTTATAGACACCAGCAAACAGGTATCAAGTCTTGATGACAACGACTTCTCGTCCCTGACATGGTCGCCAAGGTCTTCGTGGGCAGTGTCTGCAGTGTGCCCGGGAACCCCCTCCTGAAGCTCAACGGGAGCTACAAACATCAGGACTCGGTGATCTACCAAGACAACCTTGGGGCTGCAGTCCTTGAGCTGTGTAAGATCATTCCTTTCGGGGTGAGTCAGCAGCAGGGGCGATGGGTCGGGATGTTGACACATGACGGCTGCAGGTTCTCTGTTTCTTCCCCTCCTACGGGTTGTTGGAGAAGGTCAAGAGCCGCTGGATGGCGACTGGTCAATATGAAAAGATTGACGAAGTTTGATGGTACCTGGGACCTTGTGCTGGGAGGCTGATGTTGCGTGCAGGTCAAAGATATCATAGTAGAGCCTCGCACTGGCGAAGACTTCGATCGAGCCATGGAGAGCTACTATGATGCAATTGCAAGGAGCAAAGGAGAGGCAGCTCCGAAAGCCACCAAGAAGGCAGCGTCTAAGAGCTTCTTCAAGAAGGCCGGGCAGAAAGTTCCAACACCCGGCAAGGCCAAGACCGGGGCAGTCTTCCTAGCTGTCTGCAGAGGGAAGGTGTCTGAGGGTATTGACCTTGCGGATGACAACGCTCGTGGCGTCATTATCGTCGGCATTCCTTACCCGAACGCGATGGACAACAAGGAAAGTGACGAGCTGGCCTGCTGCCTGTCATGCTAACAGTCTGCGGTACCAGGTGAAGGTGAAGAAGACGTATAACGACAACAAAGTTGGCGATGGCTTGCTGAACGGAGACGAGTGGTACTCCCTACAAGCGTTCAGAGCTATCAACCAGGTTCTCTTCCTCCGACTCCGCCGCTGCAGCGTCCCAGCTGAACCTCGTGAACCCCGGCAGGCAGTCGGGCGTTGCATCCGGCATGTGAACGACTACGGTTCGATCATCTTCCTCGATGAAAGGTGACGGGGATTCGTTGCTGTTGGGCGAGATCTCACAGCACACAAGGTACCAGCAGAAGTCCAGCATCAAGTCAAACCTGTCCAAGTGGGTTCGGGAGTGCCTAGTGGAGTGAGTGGAGGCTGGTGGAGGAAAACGTGTGACCCTTGCTGCAGCTACAAGACGTTTGAGGACTGCGCGGGAAGGCTGGGAGGCTTCTTCTCTCAACTTGCGCCTGCCGATGTGGAGCAGCTGAAGGAGAGGCTGGAGAAGTCGGAGCCGAGCTGCAAGGCCAGCGGCACCAAGACGAGCAACAAGTGCATGACATTCGAGTTTGCTGCCGCGTCCTTGCTCGATGCCCTGAACCCAGAGTCATCTGAACCCCCACCCGCATTGGGAGCGAACTCTGCAGAGCCTGGAGGTACTTCAGCAGGAGATGCTCTGTGTGTGCTAGGAGGGCAGGACGATCCTTGTTGCAAGGAGCCTCCAGAGGCCTGCGGAGGCTGTGCTGACATAGAGAAGGAGACTGCGAGTTTCCTGTCATGTTGCGGCCAAGAAGTCGACGTTGACTTCTGTCTCGAGGAAGTCAAAGAGACAGTCCAGCATCACAGCGTCAGGGAGCTGACGCGAGCTGCCGATGACAAGGGCGGCTCCTTCTACTGCATCGACGTAGAACGTGAAGTCTAGACTTGTTTCCTTGCCCCCTCCTCCCTGATCCCTCAGCGTTTCAGGATCCTGCAACTTCGTCAAGGGCAGTCTACATGCTGCAAGACCCTCGGAAGGCCCTGAAGGCACCTGGTTCCCTCAAGACGGACTTGTGCTCTCCAAAGTCTTCTGTGAGCAGCTTCACCATGCATTCCTTGTCGTCTCTCCTGACATTCGAGGCAGGCAAACACTGCAGCGCTGAGATGGGGGCGCAAGTCTTGGCGGCTACGAGGGAGAACGTGGACAGGATAGGCAAGGTCTTGATACCAGCAGAGAGGCTGTACCAAGGGGAGAGGGGAGGAAAGACAAGGTAGAGCAAGCAGGAGGAGGGGGAGGGAACGGTGACAGGACCTGACAGGATTAAGGCGTCGCATGAGGTGGAACAATCCAAGAGCTCCATGCTGCTGTCCTACTTCACGTCGAAGTCGTGCAAGGAGAAGAAAGGCTCGGCCTTCCAGCAGAGCTGCTATGGTGCATCGATGGTCGGCAAGGCAAGGGGAAGTGAGAGGGCGGAGGAGAAGGAGAACGTCATGATTATCGACTGCGATGTGGGTCAAGCAGCTTCCCAGCAGGAGGTGAGCAAGAGCAGGAGTGAGCAAACCAGGAGTGTGCAGAGGTTCATGGACAGCGCCGAAGCCTTCGACGATGACGATGACTTCCGTCCTTCAAGACCCAAGGGAGCTGCCATGAAGAGCAAGAAGAAGCCAAGGACTGACGGGAGATTCTAGAAGAAAGATGTAGAGTATGGGCGCGAGGGAAGGGAGAGAAGAGGAGAGGAAGAGGAGGAGGAGGAGGAGGAGGAGGGAGGGGGGGGGGGAGAGGCCATTGTTGATTACAAGAGAAGATTTATTACATTACAGATCCTTGAGCGTAAAAGTCGCATGCAAGATTGGAGGCTCCTCTGCCTCAACGCGCTAAGATAGAAGAGTGACAAAATTAATCGAACAAACAGGTGGAACAAGACCAAGACTGCAAGAACAGAGCAAGACAAAACTGATGGTCCAGTGGGTTGATATCTGCTTGAGCTCAATAGACTTGCATGCCTTTCACTTTCTTGAAGATCTCGTCGTACTTATCCTTCCCCTCCTCGTCCGACGGCTTCTTGATCAGCACGCAGCTGGTTGGCCTCTTGGTTTGCCCTGCTGTGCCGAGCGCCTCCTTGGAGGGAACGAAGACATACGGAACGTCCTTGTCCTCGCAGAGGACGGGCAGGTGGCTGATGACATCGATTGGGGAGATGTCTCCTGCTATGACACACACACCCTTCTCTCCCTTGCGAACAGCCTTCACCACCTCCTTCACTCCTCGTCTGACCACCTTGCCCTTGGAGGCTGCACGATATCATCAGCCCACGCACAGACGTCCTCCTCCTCCTCCTCCTCCTCCTCCTCCTCCTCATCATCATCATCCTCATTCATCCTTATCCTCCTCCTCCTAACCCCCCTCCCCGCTCCTCGAAACACCCCCACGGCTAGAGCAGTTACAGCAGGGTGCGTTCAAAATGCGCCACGGACCCAGCTAACAGCCTTCGGCCCCCGTGCATCTCACTACATCTAACATGGCAACAACACACGAGCTGTAGGATACAGCTGCTGAGACCTCTAGACGCATTGGCTTCATGGCGACACAACGAGAATCTGGAATCTATGCTCTATCCACACTGAACCTCGATGCTCGAGACTGGCGCTCTCACTAGCTCGTTCTCCATGGTCTCGATCTCGTCACATCCTTGCATTCTCTTGAAAACATCGGCCCTTGTCAATGAACCTCGCATGCTTTCCTCCCTCCCCCTCCGCTCCTCCTGATCTCCTTCCGTCCCTCTCTCGAATGAGATCTTCTGACTCTCTTCTGCTCACTTCCCCCACTCCTCCGAGATCCTCTCACACAGCAGCATGGAGCAAGCAGCCGGCATGTTCTCACCGGCCTTCACCATCTTCAGCACCTTCTTGAGCAGCTTCTCCTCCGCCATAGGCTGTGCGATTACCGACACTCCTCCTGCCATGATCCTGTGTTGTTCAGTCCGGGGTGGGTGGGTTCCTTTTTAGGGGTGGTGCGATTGACTGTACGGTAGCATTAATCCTCAAGTGCCTGGTGGGTGATATTTCCAAGGTGGGTACTTAAAGTGTGGGGTCATACACAAACATAATGGAAGTGTAGGGTACTTTATGGTACAGATTGAATCTTGTTGTGGGGTACATCATAATCTTCTTCAAAATGGTTGGGTCATGGTTGTACAGTGCATAATTTCTGAGGGGTAGGGATCAGTAGAAGGTAGGAGATGGGGTGGGGTAAAGATTACCAGGGTGATTGATACATGGGGTAGGGTAGTCTGATCAAACCATTGTAACACGAGAAGCTGCACATGCGGCCATTAGCATTTCCGGAGAGGGGTGCCATGAAAACTATCTATATAATTTTGTTCTCAATTTTGAAACACTAGATCTCATTTCACATATATTCACTATATTTGGGTAAATATTCTGAACTTTTCCAAATTTGACTTTGTTGGGGGTGGATGAGGGCCTTCACCGCACTGAAACACAATAACTGAGCCTCGGAGTTCCGATGGCCCGCCGGGCCCGGCCGAAACGGCAAGCCAGCATACTACGCGCGCTATGGACTGGGCACCCGCTGGGTCGGACTCCGTTTCAACGAGTCTCTGGCACGGTGCCCGGCAGCGGCCCTGGCTGCCAGTGCTCACGTTGAACTCACGTGAGACGGTTCAAGGTTGACTGCCGCCGTGCCCGCAGTGTCAGTCTGAGTGAGACTTGACTGTTCAGTAACATGACTCTGTGATCAGGAGTCCGCCACGACGGTCTCGCAAGTTTCGGAGTAGTTTTATGCGTTTCAATGTCCATCCAGTGCTTGCAACAGGACAGATTTCTGTCTGCTCAGGGTGCGAGGAGTCTTAGACTTCACGGGGAAGAAGCCTTCCGATGCTGCAGGACGCTTTGAAGGCACCTGGACAAAGTGAGCAGCAAGATGCAGCGAGGAGGAGCAATACCTGCTGCTCTACCACTGGCTCTGCTGGGCCGTTGGACTCACCCTTCTGCCTTCGGTCGAAGAAGAAGTTCTTGGACATAGGGATCGAGCCCGTCTCCTTCGCATTGCCGGGTTGCTGAGCTCCTAGCAGCGACTTGCTTCTCTTCATCATCGTCCTCAGGGGCCGCGAGGAGTCCCCGACATTCTGCTGTGCCTTGGAGAGTTGCCGGGTGAAGGCTGAGAGAGCAGGTCCGGTCGAGAAACTCCTCCGCATCGTCGGCGCTGACTTTGCAGCTGCATTCTCCTTCTCCTCAGCCTCTGGCTCGAGCTCTTTGGCTGCATCCAGCGCTCTCTTCTCCTGGATCCACTTGAGGCGTTCCACTCGCTCCTTGACCCTCATCGCTTGAACTTGAAAGTCGACCTGCTCCTGCTCGTCCTCGCCAGCGCCCCCCTGAGCATCCGCGTCAGCCCCATCAAGAGCAACCGCAAGCTGCATCTTCACCATTTCACCGAGCAGATTGGCGAAGTCACCCTCATCCTGCATCATGTTTCTCATCCTTGCAGCCCTGCATGACAGTCAGTCGGGGACCCACTGCCCTTCAGCGGTCAGAGACCTATTGGGGATCCACTGCTCTCCCTGGGCCATCGCCTTCCTCCTCCGCGATTCTCCTCGAATCACATCCAATATTTTATCCGTCTGCTTCTGCTCGTCGTCATCTTGCACTTGTTGATAAAAATCTCGCAGGCCCTGCGGGTTGATGTTGAATATCACAATGTGGTCATGGCAAAGTGACAAACCTCAGGGTCTACATCTTGCACTGCAAACTTGGCGTCCTCGATGAAGCCCTCCGCCACTCTTCGCTCCTCCTCGCTGTCCTCCTCCTCTTCTTCTGCATCTTCACCGTCCGTGTCCATCAAATCAATGCCTTCCTCCAAGTCCTATCAAACATTCAGCATGGAAATCATGCAATTGCAGGACAAGACCTCCTTTGCAACTTGTACGTCGTCGTAAAAACCAAGGACCTGATCCTCATTCCTGAGATATCCAGCTTCCAATGTGCCAATCCTCAATCCAGACTGTTTCTTCATAGAAGCAACATCATTGAGCCCTTTCTTGACTGGTTCCTTTGCCTCCTCCTCCTCCTCCTCCTCCTCCTCCTCCTCCTCCTCCTCCTCATCGTCATCCCCCTCGCTCTCTGAGCTAGCTTCACTGGATTCATCAGCATCATCATCGTTATCTTCTTGATCACCGTCGGAACCATTATCAGAATCGAGCTCTGGTGTTCTCCAGACGGCCTTGGCTGATTCTTTTTTGGCCTCAACCGATTCTGAAACGACGCCTGAGCGAGATTCATCTGATTTCTCCTTATCATTCTGATTGGTCTCTCTTTGTCTGAGCTGCTCAAATCCTGCCTTGCCGTACACCCTTGGGCGATTCACCTTCACTTCCTGAGAGGAATTTTCTGCTCGAGGCTGGCTGCCCTCTAGAGCGATGCTTTCAACCGTATCTCCATCCAGTTTGCGGTCTGTTTCAGTGTCGTCGTCATGGTTCACGTCAGCCATGGTTTCCTTGGTGTCTAGAGTTTCCTTGTTCCGAGACACATCCTTTGCCATGTAGTTCAACAAGTCCATTTCGTTTTCTCTCTTTTTCACTGTGGACTTTGAATCCCTGTAATACCCAAGACCATTTTCACCCATGTGGAAGACGTATCCAGTCTTGCTGCCCAAGAAAGTAGATGCAGCAAAAAAATCTTTATCAATACCTTCAAAGGGCTCTGGCAACTTTGACTCTTCTACCTTTGCCTTGATCTGCTTGTAATGCAGACTATCTTCAACAGATTTCTGCAGCAACAGGTTTCGAAGCTGATTGCGTTTCTTCATAGCAGAAGGAGGAGATACAGGGGAAATCTTTGACTGTACATTTTTGGTTTTCTTCACTGTAGTGAGTTGACCAGGATCCATTGAGGCACCAGTGTCGTTAGCTTGCTTGTTTGCGTCATCCGACTCTTTCTTAATGACGATGAAGTCCAAATCATCATCATCTTCATGATCATTTGCTGCACTGGAATGGTTTGGTTGTAAGTCCATCACAATTTTTTCAGAAACAATCGGGTCCGTCTCAACCTGCATCATAGCTAAGAAGCTATACTCTCTTGTTGGTAAAAAAGCACCTTCACTTCAGAGATCTCATTGCCAACCGTCTTTTGAGCGCTGAGTTTCGTGACTCGTTCGTGGATCTTTTCGAACAGGTCCTGTTTCGATCTCAACTTTACCTGAGCCGGTTTGATCATGCACCGCCTTTCACGTAACAATCTTTCGCTATCTCTGTGCAGCTTGCGTAATTCTTCCTTGGACTGTTTTTGCTTGGCAAGCCTCTCCTCTTCGTCGTTCTCAGCCTCCTTTTTGTCCGATGCAAAGTATGAAAGCCCCCTGAACAAGATGTTAGAGGTATTCTCAGCACAGAATCAGACGCAGTCTGATTACCATTCTTTCTTCTTCTTGGCCTCTTCGACGTCTCCACCAGCGAGGAGGAACTCCTCCTCGTCATCATAATCCTCCAATCGAACCATCTGGAATGGTCTTCAGGGAGGGTGTGTGATTTCCAGCAAGCAAAAACCTTCTCAGGTTCAGATTCATCATCAGAATTCTTTTCCTTCTCTGATGACTCTTGCTCCTCTTCATCGTTCTCCTGTTCATCATCGTCCGCCTCTTGCTCATCTTTCTCTGGCACAAGTCGAATCAACACTTGATGAGTACAACCATTGTAAGATACCTGTCACTTGAACCTCACGGATGTACTTGAACGTATCCTTCGCTTTCTCATGATCTCGGGATTTCTTCACTCTCTTCAATCTCCCGAAATTTGATGTCTCATCCTCAGAAGAATCACTGCTGTCAGTGTTATTGTATGCATTGCCGTCGCTGTCTGTAAGGGCTCGTGTCTCCCCGCTTGCATCCTCGTCCATGCCAGCTTCCTCGACATTCTTTTCCATCTCTGCTGCTCCAACATCTGCTGCGCTCTCAGGCATGGGCTTGTCCTCATCCGACGAGTTTGAGCTTTCCCCATTCTCCGCAGGTGATGCTGCTTTCCGAATATCAGTCTCAGAGCTTACTTTCTCTGCGGCCTCAACGGATGCACCATCAGCAGCCTCTCTATCTGTGACACGACTTGATCTCTTCTCGTCGTCCATGCTCTCAGCCCCTCCCCCTGGCATCTCCTCTGTGCCTGCCTCCTCTGCACTCCGTTCCGCCTCCAGGGGGCTGTTTCCTTGCACCTGGTGTTCCTCCTCAGCCTCGCTTTGCTCCCGCTCCTCTCTCACACTGTCGGCATCCTTCCGCTCCTCGTCCTTCTTCTGGAAGAAGCTTGAGAGCCTCGCACAGCTCCTTGCCGCCTGCTCCTCTTCCAGCCTCCTCACGATCGACTTGAGCATATTTCCCTTCCCGCCCTCCCGCCACTCTACCCTTTGATTCCACCACCCCTCCCTTGACTACCCCCACAGCTCTGCTAATCAGGTACCCACCCGGTCCACTTCGAATCTCTTGAAAGTTTGGAGTTTTGAAATTTCCAGGCCTAAAAGTTTCAAAGTTTGAAAGTTCATTATTTGAAACTTGTTGACGGAGCTGTGGCAAACTTCCATGGCGACGGCAGGGGAGGCGCCGGGGGATGAAGACCCCGTGCTGCTCCATGCAGACGCCCTAGACCAGGTCACCCCACCCATCACTTATCTCCTCACTACCTCTGAGCACCCTGAGGATCTGTGAGATAGACTGATCGTGCTGCCTGTCTGCCTGCATGCCTTGTTGCACAGCTGGCCAGATACCCTTACTGTCTTGTGGTGCTTGCTGCATGTCTCCCTGCGCGACATGGACAATCGTTCCTGACATGTGGTTATGATCTTTGAACAGCTTCTGCTGAGAGTGATGAGCTGGACATCTACTGTTGACACCATCCGGAACAACATCAAGGTCCTTGGTATTTATCACCTCCTGTCGAGACCAGGCTGACCATTCACTCACGAAGCCGAGGCTGAGAAGCAGAACGCGCAAAGGATAAGGAAACAAGTCTTGCCGTCAGTTCATCCCATACAGTTTTACCCGGGCCCGGAGGTATGGCGTCGCCCTCAATTAGTGAGAATTCTTTACCTCGGAGATGGCAGAGCAACGCGCCCAAGACCAACGACAAGGGCAAGGCTGACACTCTCAAGGCAGTGGGGTCTCAGTGCTTTGTAGACCTCACGGAGCAGGTGAGAGCGACCGAGAGGCTCTGCGAGATGGCAAGGGGCTGATCGTGACCTCAGCTGGCTCAACACCATGACGAGATTGCCAACTCCTTGAGGTGAGGAGGGAGAGGCAGCAGGGCGGCTGCTCCTCTGACGGCAGCCTTAGGAACCTTGACAACACAAAGGGGAAGGAGCTGGACCGTTTGGCGAAGAAAGCTAGGTTGCGCCTCTTCATCTGCATCCGTACGTGCCAGCCTGACGGAAGCATCGACGGTCAGGGCAAACCTGGAGGGGGAGATCATGAAGATCTTCGAGAGGTGAGCAGCGGAGCATGTGTATCCTTGACCTCCCTGATCCTCCGACTCAAGGGTAGAGAAGGCACGAGATCTGCTCGAGTCGCGAGCGAAGGCGGTTCAATCAGCCAGTGACCCGGTAGCTGATTGGGGCTGTTCTTCTGGGGGCGATGACTCAGGCTTGCAGATTGCTGCGACGGCAGGGGAGTCAGTGACGGACTTGTGGCTCCTGCACGTGCAGCAGGCGATGGGGAGACACGGATGAGCTCTCGTCTGACATCAGTGCAGGCGGCTGCCAGGAGAGAAGAGCGAGCCGCAAGCGAGGAGTACTGCAAGAAGGTTGTTGTCGCCCCCTCCACGTTGCGTGCAGTAACTTTCTGTTGACAGGCTCTGTCGATCTGGAAAGATGCTGAAGTCGCTGAGGTACAAGTCAGAGCTCATGTCGGTCACTTCCTGTCTCATGTATGACGTCTGTGCAGCTCGAACTGTCGCAGAAGATTGGGGAAGGTAAAAGTCGTCGCGAAAAGGGATGGCCCGTCATGACGAATGGTGACAGTGATCTCACAATACATACAATGTCAATCGGCATCAGTCGGAAAGATCGATCTAGCCATTGAGGTCTGCTCGCGCTGCTGCTGAAACCTTCTTGTCAAGAGTTGGAATGGGTATGGCAGGCGTCGTCAAGAACCATCAAGACCATCGACGACAAGTCGGATTGGTACGCTAGGAGCATGTTTCTGACGGTTGAGTGATGTGTTCCTTGCAGGAAAGCATTTTTAGGCACCGAGAAGGTTGCATCAGGGCTGAACCCGTCCATCAGTACTGGTTCCTCAGTTTTCCTCACTTCTTACTCGCTGGTGAATGATGATGATCCTCAGATTGGAGAAAGTGGCATTCCGTCTTGTCTGAGATTGCGCTCTACGAAGAGCGAAGGTTATCCGCATGCCACCTCGCAGCCTTGCTGATGCTTGTCTGCAAGCAGGGGCGACTGTATGGCCAACGGCGGGGATCAGAACGTTCTATGTCAGGGCCACTTGTTACGTCAGGGCTCCATGTTGAGTTTCAACTGGAAGAAGTCAGATGTTGTGATGCGGCTGCCGACGTCCCTCACACGGTCTTTGCAGGCAATTCTTCGTCCTCACCCAGTCTGGCTGTCTGTATTATTTCCAATCCCGCGATGCTTACAGCCCCGAGGCCTCTTTCTTCCTCCCATCCTACAAGTCCTGCATGCTCGAGACCTCCTGTCCGTCTGACATGATGCAGGGTGGACTTGGCAGTGGATGAAGGTTCTTCCTTGACGATCTTGCTGTACCCCAAGTCAAAATCCTGGTACTCATTCGACCCCTTGCGTCCAGCAAGCCGGCGATGACGTTTGCTGGGGCAGGTTCGCCAGCTCAAGTCCAACCAAGATTGTTGTGAGGTAAAGGCACCTTGGCTGACGTGCTTGAGCGCGTGTTGCTGATGGTATGGAGCAGGGAAATCGGAGCTAACAGCGATCAGCCGCCCATCACAGAGTGGATGACGGCATTGACGAGCTTCAACTAGTTTGACACTCGGGCGATCGTTGGCCTCATTCACACTCTCAGCTTGCGTGCGCGACTCAGCCCTTCAAGTTTGTTATTGTTTCCTTTTCCTTTAAATGTTTAGACAGCCACCCCCCTTCCCACACCGATCGTCGAGCCGATGACGTCATCATGACATGAATGTCACAAGTCCACTTCACAGCTCGTCACATCAGCAGCTCCACTCCTTGTGCAGAGGCGGTTCATCCCTTCCATCTCTACAGAGACATCTTCGAGAACGAATCCTCCAAGCTTGCAAGATCCCAGAACTTCAGCTTCCCATCCATGCCGACCGAGACAACCTTGGTGCACGTGTTCCCGTTGTACCAAGAAGAGCAGGAGGCGAGGCCAGTAATGCATGTCTGCAAAAGAGGCGTAAGGGGAAGAAAGAAAGACAACTGTCAGAAGCTATCCCACACGAAAGGAAGGACTCACATGGTGGACGGTTGTGACCGTTGTGCCTTTCGATCCTCCATTCGCGTCGTTGCCCAAAGAAGACGAACTCTCGAACTTCTTGAAAGCTGCTCCTCTAGCGGAGCTGGAGCTCTCGCTAACGATCTCCGTCGCTTGATCGAGCTTCTTCTTCTCCACCCATCCCTTCCCCTCCTTCGCGTACACAGTCGGGTTGCAATCATGCCCGGCCGCCAGCACTCGATTGTGGGAGAGGAACATCATGCGCAGGTGCGGGAGGCCCGAGCACCTGATACGCTCAAGTTGCTCCTGCTGCGGTATGACACCCTCCTGGATGGGAAGGAAGCTAATGGAGGAATCATGGGTAACGAAGGCGATGGAATCAAAAGTAGGGGAGAAGCAAATGTCGTGGACCCACGAGTTCGTCTCGATCTTGCAGATCATCTGCCCGATCTTCTTGAAGCTCACGTCTGGCCCGAACAGCTGCGTCGGTTTGTCGTCCACCCCCTTCACTGCTGCCGTGAAGAGGCGGACGGCACCATCCATGGACCCAGCCGCCAGGTACGTGTTGGACTTGTGCCAGCACACGCAGCTCACCGTAGAGTCGAAGTCTTCAATCAGCTTGCTCACCCACCAGTTGTTTTCCTCCTCATAGTAGCACACGGAGATGCACTTTTGCCCGCTGCAGACTGCAAACTTCTTGCCATCCCACGACCACTTGCAGTAAGTGGCGGCTCTGTGTATTCTGAGGTGCACCAGAGTCGGGTTCCACTCGTTGTCCTTGCCAAAGTCCCACACGTACGCGTTCCTGTCTTGCGAGCACGTCAGCAGGTTGTATGACGACGGCGCAAACTCTATCGAAGTGACGAGCTGGTCGTGCTGCGCGAGCTCCTTCACCAGCCTGAATTCCCCGTCCTTGTACTCTGAGACGAGGACCTTGCTTGTCTGCGGGCAGTACGCAAAGAATCTCCCGTCATGGCTCACTGCGATGCAGCTGAGGGCGCAAGGGCGCTTGCTGTTCGGATCCAGAGCAAGCACGTGGACACCGGACTTGCTGTCTCCTGCCTTCTTGGTCGCAGGAGCACCTGGGGTTTCGTTGGACCGTTGTTCAAAGAGCGCTCGTGAAGCCTGGAACGCCATGTCGCACTCGAGACCTGCGCGAGAGGTCAGGACATTCGGCTGGGACGGGGAACGGGGAGAGAGAGCGCGGTTACGGTGTTGAGGGGCATCGGGTACAACAAACTCCAAAGTTGAGGTTTCAAGAGGATTTGTGTTATTGGCGCTGCGATCTCTATCACACAGCTCGATCAACATAGAATGTATGCCAAGGAGACAAGCATCAGCCTGGACAATGCAGGAATCGCAACTTGAGAACACATACCCTTAACCCATGATTCTGAATTGTGCTGTGATTGGGACCAGTGTTTCAATGGGGGAAATCCAACGAAAGGAAGGAGGAAAACTCAAGAATTCCACATTCTCTTCTTCCGCCTTCTCTTTCCTTTTCGACCTCTCTCCTCTCCTCTCCTCTCCTCTCCTCTCCTCCCCTCCCCTCCATCCTGCTGCCTCTGACTAATAAACCCTCCGCCCATGTCGAGGTCTGACCACACATTTGTGGTATCCTGTACCCCTCCATCTTCTGCCCTACCCCACTGTACTTCAAAGACCCGTACCGGGATTCCTCAATTTTATCCTCCCTACCCATAAAAAGAAGGGAATCTCTGTTTGTAAAGGAGGGGTTCTTTTCATTCTTTTAACACCCCTACCAGCATAAAACATACCCCAATTGCGGACTACCCCTGAATTTCAACCACCCACCCCTGATATTAGCTCCATGCCCACCCCAAAACTGATGACGGCATCGAGCCTTTATACAACCAAATTTTAAACCTTCTCCTCAAAACGTTTTAACGAATACTAAAACCTTTTTGAGAGTCTCGTCGTAGCTTCAAAAGCACATTTAAAACTATTTTTCGGTACTGGTACTGTAAATCAAGCTCCCCTCATCACATAATTGAAGGCATCAGCTGAATCACTTGGCCTTGCAAGTTTCTGCCCCCCAGGAGCCTTCACCATGCACCCCATACCGGAAGCATCGCCAAGTGCCATGGCGTTTGTAGGCGCCGCGCTGCCCCGTCTTTCCCAACAGACATGCTGTGATGTCCCATGCTCCGTCTCCTCTCCTCGCTCTGTCCTCCGCCCACTCTCGGCGCTTCGCATGCAGCAAACTGAAAGAAGGTTTCCCAGACGCGAAGCATGGCTGAAAGTCATGTTTCTTTCGCTGTCAGCGCTGGGAGGACAGATGTCTTTCTCGAAGCAGGCTATGGCCAACAGCCAGACCGACGCAGCAACTCAGTATGCTGTGGATCCTAGTGGATTCCGTTTCGAATCGCTCAAGGACGGGTATGTAGCCGCTTTCATTCTGTAATTTTTCCTCAGCTGCATTTAAGGATCGGTATGACGCCGAAGGCGGGAGATACAGTGCGACTGAAGGTTGAGGCCATTGAACGGGGCACAAGAACAGACGTGAGCCGCAAGGTTGGCCTGATTGAACGATACGAGCTGGGAAAGGGTGACCTGGGCAAAGAGCGTGAGTATGCGCTTGCTTTTCCCGGTCCCCCCCCTCCTTTGTTTTTGTCTCAATCGCTGCCCTGATGTGTTGGTACACCTTGTGCTAATGTGACAGGGACCTGTGCAGTTGAGACGATGGTTCAAGGCATGAAGATCGGCTCGGAGCGCGTCTTGCCCTTGAACAAGGAAGTCTCCGCGTCCACCATGAGGGTCGTGGACTGGGCAAGAGTGCGAGACAACGAAGCGGTGGACCTTTATGTGAGGTTGATCGGGATCGTTGGGCATCCATGCAGCAGGTGGAGGGAGCGAGGAGGGGGGAGGGGATCATGGGGATGTGATCGTTGTCGTTGCAGTGACGAGGAGGAGAAGAAGAAAGGGAATCTTGTAGACTTCCACGTCTGCGGTGAAGTCAACAAGAGGACTGAGAGGATACGGCTGTTCTGCGAGTCTGGTGATGCTGCAGTCTCTGCATGGCGCCGCTTCTACTGCCGCACTGACTTCAACCTTCCATGTCTTGTGCTACAGGCCGCAACCTCTGCGTCGAACCGGAGTACCTGAAGATGATGTCAGCCAAGAAGTAGCGGCAAGTTCAGAACGGTATCATGTACCCGATCCTGTGACTAGATACGGAGCTTTGATAGTAATTGTAACGACGGCAGTACACTTCGGCAGTCACCGTGACTAGTCCAATCAGTAGTAGTGTCGGTCGGAGTCGGACCCCAGTGACTCGGACTGCCCGGCCAGCCTGTGACTCTGAAGCGGCTCGGCGATCGGCCGCCCGGAGCTCGGATCGGCCGGGCCCGGGCCGGGGGGCACCGGGCCGGGGGGCACCGGGCCGGGCGCTGCGCGCCGCCGCCGGGCGCCCGGACCCGGACCGCACTGGCAGGTTGCCCGGGGACCGTGGCACTGGGCCGTGACGGGCGCCCGGCGCCGCCCCGGGCGCCCGTCACCGGCGGTGACTGTGCCTCGGAGTATGATCCGATCATTCCGCCCCCCGCCCCCCGCGGCCCGGACTCTGCCAGGGCGCCGTCACTGGGCCGGGCCCGTGACTGAGCGGCTGGGCCCGTCGGCCGGGGTGACTGTTTTGCCTCATGCCTAGTCCGGGGCCGGGCCGCCCGGCCCGGACTACTGACAGTGAGGCAAAACAATGCCAGTCACGGTGGTCATCATGAAGCGAGGGGGGCTCGGCTGATATACTTGCGTAAACCAACCCGTACCTCGGCCGGCGAAGCATGTCGGACGGGAGCGATCAGGTAAAGGATGGGAGAGGATGGGGGGAGGGAGCAAGGGAGAGAGCGAGAGCGAGAGCGAGAGAGAGCAAGGGAAGAAGTGAGAGGAGGGAGATCTTTATGGGCAAGGCACGCAGTGACATGTGGGAGAGCACTTTGTTCAGTCTTGGCTGTTGCACGGACACGTGCGTGGGTTTCTTGGAGATGAAACGCGGGCAAATGTTGTGCTGGCTCGGAGGAGAAAGCTTCTTTCTACCAGTGTGAATGAGTTGATGGGAAACAGCATACTTAGGATTTGATGGCTTGACTGAACACTGACCAACTAGCCACAGGAAGAAACACGATCGAGGCAGAGCGACGGCAGTGACCAGGAAGAGCAGGACAGGGCTGAGAAGAAGGACGTGGAGGAAAGCGACAAGGAAGAGGACAAGGATAATGAAGACGAGAAACTAGATGAGGCACAAGTGTTTGGAGAGAACGACGACGACGATGACGATGACGACGACTTTGAATCGAGGGTGGGGGCGGAGTTGGATTTGCTTTTCGTTGTAATGTGTTGTAACAGAAGAAGCCAACGAAGAAGTCAAAGAGGAAGAGCTCTGACAGGTACTCTCGCATCTCTCTGTCATCCCAGCACTCACGCTGCTCTCCTCCACAGCGACCATTCTGATTCCGGCGATGACGGGGAGGGAACGAAACGCAAATCGCACAAGAGCTCTGGCCAAGGAAAGCACAAGAGGACCAGGAGGGACAAGTCGGACGAGGACAGTGGCGACAATGCTCCAGACGAGCCCCCCACTTACCAGGACAGCGATGATGACGAGGAGGACGCGATCAACAGAGGGGACGTCGTCGATACCGAGACGGGCGAGGCAGTCACGAGCTCAAAGTTGAAGGGCAAGCGTCTTGGCAAACGCGACCAGAAGGAGCTGATGGAGAAGGAGAAGGAGCAGATGAAGAAGTTCATCAACGACCTCAAGAACGCTGCGCTCGATGACATGGTGCGATTGTGGGACTACGGTGGCATGTTGGCATCTGACGATCGCCGTGAATGCAGGAAGCGTACAAGAGGAGGCAGACGGCAATGAAGAAGATGGAGTTGCTTCCCAAGCTCGTGGAGGAAATCTCCAAGAGCCGCAAGCAGCAGATGTACATCGAGCTCGGCGTAAGACCTCTGCACCTGCTTGACCTTCGCTTGACTCTGCGTTCTCAGATCCTCAAGAGCATGAAGCTGTGGCTGGACCCGCTCAAGGACGGCTCCTTCAAGGACCGCGCTTCCAGCTTGCCGAACAAGAAGCTGCTGGCTGAGGTGGCAGCTGGAGGTGCTGGAGGTGCTGGGCTGACTGCTCCTGGTCCAGGTCTGCCAGCTGTTGTTGAAGCTCCCGCTGGAGTCTGGCAGGACAGGAACGGACGGCAAGATGTTCACTACTGACAACATGCAATTTGTGAGCTCGGGAGGTTATGTTCCTGCTCTGAAGTGCTGTCAACAGCTGCTTGACAGTGAGATCGCGCGCTCCGTCCGCTTCATCACCAACGCGTTTAAGGATGACATGTCTTGCGAAGCGTGCAGACTAGCGCAGAAGGTGAGGAGGAGGAGGAGGATTCAAGGATCAGGAAGGAAGGTTGGGAGGATTGCTAAGAGGAGGGGAGTAAGAGGGAGAGGGGAGGAGGAGAAGAAGAAGGAAGAGGAAGAGGAAGAGGAAGAGGAAGAGGAAGAGGAAGAGGAAGTGGAAGATCAAGGAGGAGGAGGAAGAGGAGGAGGAGGGTCCGAGATAGAGTTGACTTGAACTTGAAGGTGAGAGCCAAGTGGTCGCGCCTGGTCTACAAGAAGGCAGAAGGGTGACGCTCCTCTCTCGCGCGGGGTCGGGTGGAGCTGACGAGTCGCCCAGCTACAAGCACACGGCAGACCAGCAGGACGAGGACGACGAGCCGCACGTTATGCCTCACATCCCCAAGGCGAACAGGTGAGAGGGGAAGGAGGAGGGAGGAGGGAGGAGGGAGGAGGGAGGAGAGAGAAGGGGAGAGCAAGGAAAAGGGAAGGAGGGGGAGGACAAAGATGGGATGGTGAGGGGAGATTGGGAGTTGGAAGGAGGGGGAGGTACGAGTAGAGGGAAGCTGACTGAGGAGCAGGGAGTGGGAAAAGATGCCAGCCAACATCAACGCGAAGGGAGAGAAGGCGGCGAAGGGAGAATACGGCTTCCGGTGCTCCCCTCCTCCTCCTCCTTTTCTCAGGGCTGACGCCTGTCAGCTACGGCGCTTCTGTTCCTCGTCCCATGCTCTTTGACTTCACTATGGTGAGTTGGCGGCGTTGGCCTAGAGCAGAGCAGCAGAGCAGAGCAGAGCAGAACAGAGGAGGGGGAAGGAGGAAGAGAAGAGCTCGATGGGATCGTGAGCATCCAATCAGGCGCCCGAGAGCAAGATCGATGTGGAGGAGAGGCTTGAGAGCTCCAAGGAGAGGAATCGTGAATTGCGCGATCGTCTCATCAAGGTTCTACTCCTTTTTCTCTGCTGCAGTAGCTGGGAATGACACGTTGCAGGTCGGTATCGAACACAAGAGGGGCGACAAAGCTGGGTGAGCCTGCCTGCCTGCCTTTCCCTCCCTCCCTCCCTCCTTCCCTCCCTCCCTCCCTCCCTCCCCCTCCCTGTTCCCTCTCCCTCTCTCTCTCTTCGTCTACCCGTGCATCTCCCCATCTCAATCTCCCACCCTCCCTCTCTACTCTTCTCCTCCCTCCCTCTCCTCCATCCCGTTCTTCCCCTTCTCTTGCTCTCGAACGTTAGCTGACTCGCCTTACAGTCGCAACGAGCGAGCAGACGCCCCAGAGCTGAACCGCATGCACGTCGGAGGTGCCTGGAACTTCCTCTCCCTTCCTCCTCCTGCATCCTTCTTGCTCCCTTGCCTGCCCCTTCCCATCTTTCCTTCCCACTTTGCTTTGTCCTTTCTCGCCTCCCCCTCCTCACTTCGCACTGCCACTTTCTCTCCTCGTGCTCCGGTGCCTTCCCTCTCCTTCTTGTCGCTCCTCTCTCTCTGCCTTTTCGTGCTCACTCTCCTTCAGGCGTCGCTTCCAAGATCACGTCCATCGGGTGGGCAGAGAAGGAGGCGAAGAAGAAGAAGTGAAGGGGAGGAGGAGGAGGAGGAGGAGGAGGAGGAGGAGGAGGAGGAGGAGGAGGAGGAGGAGGAGGAGCAGCTGCTGCTCATGGCGAAGCCAACAGACATTTCTGATGTAATGAGAAAACTTCCAGACTAAAATACACGCTACGACTCGCCTAAAAACAACCCCCCGACCATTCTCCGCTCCTTCCTTCCTTGCTCCTTCACCCATCTGTTTCCTTTCATCCTCACCCTTTCTCTCCTCCTTCCTCTCTTCAGTTCCTCTTCTCCCTCCTCTCCCTCCTCAGCAGGAAGCTTGTCTGCTGCTCAGCGTTCGCCTTAGCCCACACCGCATGGTTCATCTTCAGCCACCTCTGCGTCGTCTCCCACGTCTTCAGGGACCTGCTCGCCGCGTCCAGCTCGAACAAGTTCCCGTCAAGGAGGAGGGAGGAGAGCAGCTTCAGGTGGACAAACGTGTGCGGTATGCCCAAGAGCCTGTTGGAGGTCAGGTTCACGTGCTCCAGCTTGTCCAGGACGTCGAAGACGAGGGAGGAGGTCTCGAGGTCGTTGTAAGCGAGGGAGAGGTAGGAGAGGCGGGAAGCCTTGGCGATGCTGGCGGGGAGGGAGAAGAGATGGTTGAAGCTGACGTCCAGTACCCTAAGGGCCACCAGGTCATGGAACATGTCGGGCAGCTCGCGCAGATCGTTCTGCTGCAGGTACAGCTCCTCCAGCCTCGTCAGCCCGCGGAAGGCTGAGCCGGCGATGTCCCTGATGGTGTTGTTGGCTGCGGAGAAGAGGAGGAGGGAGTGGAGGGAGCTGATGCAGGCCGGGAGGCTGCGGAGCTCGTTGCTGTTCAGGAAGAGCTTGAGGAGGCTGAGGTGCGCGAGGGAGGGCGGGAAGGATGTCAGCATGTTGTACCTCGCGTCCAGGAGCTCCAGGCGGGTGAGGAGGGAGACGTTGTCGCTGATGCGGCCGATCTGGTTGTAGGAGACGTTGAGGGTGCGCAGGTTGGTCATGCTGGCCAGCAGCTGGGGCGGCAGCTCGGAGATCCTGTTGCTCTCCAGGTTCACGTGCTCCATCCTTGGCAGGTGCTCCGCGAGCATGTCGGGCACCTCGAGCAGGAGCTTCGCGCGCAGCGAGAGGCTCCCGGTCGCCACTCCCTCCTCCACTAGCGCGTGGAAGGACGAGACGCTCTCTTCCCCCCTCTCCACCAGCTCCATCGGGGCCCCTCCGGCGTCGTGAAAGACCTTGAGGTAGTTGATGACGGCCAGCGTTCCCTTCCTCACGACGGCGTCGGGAGGGAACAGGAGCGGGTTGTTGGCGACGACGAGGGTTCGGAGGGCGGTGAGATGCCCGATAGGAGGCAGCTGGGTGAGCTGGTTGTTGGAGACCCCGAGCTCCGTCATGCTGCTCAGGTTCCCGAGCTCTGCTGGCAGCTCCTGCAGGCGGTTGGAGGAGGCGCGGAGGCGGGTAATGCTGGTGAGGAGTCCGATCTGCGGAGGGAGGAACTCCAGGAAGTTGTCAGAGAGGAGAAGGTCGGTCAGCGACTCGAGGCCTCCGATGCCGATGGGCAGAGAGGCGAGCTGGTTGGAGGAGATGCGGAAGGAGGGGAGGTACTTCATGAAGCCCAGCTCGACGGGGAGCTGGAGGATGTTGTTGTTGAAGAGCCGGAGGTCTTGCATCAGCGTCAGGCGCCCGATGGCCTTGGGAACTTCCTCGAGGAGGTTCTCGTGCAGCCGGAGGTGCGTCAGGCTGGTGCAGCTGCCGATCTCCTGGGGGAGGAGGAGGAGCCTGTTGTTGTTGAGGATGAGCTGCTTCAGGTTGAGGAGCAGCCCGACACCCGCGGGGAGCTCGACGAGGGAGCAGTGCTGCAGGTTGAGGAAGGTCAAGGACGTAAGCCTGCCGATCTCCTCAGGGATGAAGCTGAAGCTCTGTGAGTGGAGAGAGAGGGAGGTCAGCGAGTCGATCTCGCAGACTTCAAGGGGGACGGCGCTGAACCTCTGACCGCTGATGTCCAGCTCCCGCGTCCACCACGCGCTGTCCATCTCCCGCATGTACCGCACGATGGCGCTGACCCCTCGGCTGAGGATCTCGGGGGGAGGGGAGACGATGTCGTTGCCCGCAAGGTCGAGGCGCAGGAGGAGCTGGAGATCCCCGAGCCAGTAGGGCAGGCGAGAGATGTTGCAGCCCTGAAGGCTGAGGTGGGTGAGGCTGGTCAGGCCCCTCAGGTAGGTCGGGAGGGAGGCGATGCTGTTCCCATCCAGCAGCAGCGACTTGAGCCCGTTCCGCAGGGTCCCCGTGCCCGCAAACTGCATGACGTCAGCCGAGACGTAGGTGATGTTGAGGTCGCTGAGGTCTAGCACTGCAGTCTGCTGCGCCTGGTGGAGCCTGAAGAGGTACTCGAGCATGGAGAAGAGGCCCTGCCGTTGAATCTCCGGGGGAGGGCTGCGGAGCCCGTTGTCCTCTACGTCGAGCGTCACGATCCTCCCTCGCGCCAGCTCATGGAGCTCGCAAGGAAGCTCGGTGATGTAGTTGTTGCGCAGGGAGAGCCTCCTGACGTTGGTCAGGGAGCACATGGAGGGAGGGACGAAGTTGATGAGGTTGTTCGAGAGGTCCAGAGTCTCGAGATTGGTCAAGCAAGTGACCAGCCCGCTGATCTGCCGCAGACAGTTGCAGCTCAAGTCAAGCTCCGCCAGGGCCGTCAAGTCTCGCACGTCCGGAAAGATGACAGTGAGCTGGTTGTTCCGCATGTGGAGGGACTGGAGGAGGGAGAGGGACCCGAGGCTGTAGGGCATCCGCTTGAAGAAGTTGTGCGAGAGGTCGAGCTGCCGCAGGCGAGTCAGAGCAGCGAACGAGTCCGGGAGGCCCAGCAGGAAGTTGCTGCTCAGGTCAACCAGCACCAGCTCCCGCAGTGCCGAGACGCCTTCGCTCAGCATCTCCATCCCCATCCCTTTCAGCTTGAGCGCCGTCAGCGCTGTTATGCTCAGAACCTCCTTGGGCAGCAGCTTATACGGTCGGTGGGAGAGATCCAGCCATCGAGTGCCGACCAGCCCCTCCTCCTCCTCCCCCCTAGCGTTCAGGCAGGTGCGCAGGAACTCAAGGAGAACTCCAATATCGTCTGTAAGGGTGAGGTCGAAGAGCGGGGACCGCAGGATGTTCTTCTTCAGGTTCAGACGCCGCAGATTCGTCAGCCTGCAGAGCTCCAACGGCACCGTCGTCAGAGAGTTCGAGCTCAAGTCCAGCCTCTCCATGTCCAACAGTCTGCACAGGGCGACCGGGATGCTTCGGATCAGGTTGTTGCAGAGCTCGCAGACGCGCAGCTTCGGGAAGGAGAGGATCTTGTCGGGAGTCTGGAGGACATGTCGCAGGAGGTTGAAATTGGCCCCCAGCTCCGTCAGGGAGGTGAGGGAGGTGAGGGAGTCGGGGAGCAGGCCGAGGTAGTTGTGGTCGACCCGCAACCTCGTCAGCCCTGTCATGTTGCTCATGGCCGGGGGGAGGACAGTGAGATGGTTGGAGGACAGGCAAAGATCTGTGATCATGCCCTTCTCCGAGATGTCGAGAGGCACGGACAGCAAGTTGCTGCCGCGCACATCCAGCACGAACTCCCTCCTAGCATGGTAGAGCTTCCCAAGGTACTCCACGATGGGCCGGCAGCCTCGTTGGACGATGGCAGGAGGGGGAGACCAGAGGACGCAGTTCATGACGTCGAGAAAGGAGAGCTTCGAGAACAGTCCGACTTCGTCCGGGATCCTCCTGACCTTGGGGTTGTTCCTCAGGCTAAGGTGCGTCAGGTTGGTGAGCCTCCCCAGCGACTCCCCGTCCAGCTCCTCGATGGCGTTGTTGGAGAGGTCGAGGTAGGTGAGGGAGGTTAGGAAGTGAACTTCGGGTGGCAGACAAGTCAGCCGGTTGCCCTCCAGCCGCAGCTCTTGCAGCTGCGAGAGCGGGTCAAGCTGCCATGCCCAGTCGGGGACGCGACCGAGGTGGAGAGCATGGGGAACGAGGCACTGACTGGCGTCACCCGAGAGCTCGAAGCCGAGCAGTGACTTGATCCCGTTGTTGGCAAGGTTCAGAGCTCTCAGGCTCTCCCTCCTCATCTCCCCCATCCCCGTCCAGTCTCCATGGGGGAACTCGAACGTCCTGAGGAAGACAGGAACCTCTGGCACGACCTTGAACTTGTCCTTGACCGTCTTCCTGCCCTTGGTGTATCCCTTCTGAACCAGGACGCGGTCAGGAGGAACCGAGAGGTTCGTCAGGTCCAGGCTCCCCGTCAAGATCGCCGCGTCTACCCTGTCCAGGTACCTCAGCATCGCCTTCGTCCCTAAGTCGCAGATGTAGGCAGGAGGAGTCTTGACGTCGTTGCCCTCCACGCGGAGCTCGACGATGCTGCTCAGCCTCCCTAGCTGCGGCGCCAGCGCGGTGAAGACGTTGTCGCGAAGGTCAAGGATCTGAAGCTGGGCGAGCCTCGTGATGTCGACAGGGAGAAACTGGATCCTGTTGGCGTTGATGGAGAGCTTCTGGAGGAGGACGCAGGAGGAGAGCTCCTCGGGGAGCTCGAGGAAGAGGTTGTGGGAGAGGGAGAGAGTCTTGAGTCTCGTCAGCTTCCTGACCCCCGGCTGCAGCTTCTTGATCTCGTTCTTGGAGAAGTCAACCTTCTCCAGGCTGACGAGCCGGCTGAGTGCCGGAGGGATCTCAGTGAGGAGGTTGGCCCCGAAGTTGATGTCCGTCAGCTTCTTCAGCCTCTCGATCAGCTGCGGGACCTCGGGGATGCGGTTGTGGTGGAAGTGGAGGACCTTGAGGTTGGCAAGGCTGAAGATGCACTCAGGGACGAAGGAGAACGCGTTCCTGGACAAGGTGAATGTGGCCAGGGACTGGGCCGACTTGAAGGAGGCCGGGATGTCCGACAGGTTGTTCTGATCCACAGACAGGTACTTGAGGGTAGTCCGCTGCCCCAGCGTCTCAGGGAGAGCCTCCAGGTTGTTGCAGTCCACCCTCAACTTGGTCAGGCTCGACAGCTGCTCGATCTCAGGTGGGATGTCGTCGAGCTGGTTGTGGTCAAGCTGGAGGGTCTTGAGCACGTTGAGCTCCCACAGGCTGACGGGGATGGGGGACTCGATCCTGTTGGAGGACAGGCTCAGTGACTTGAGCCGCTGCATCCTGCCCATCAGGGGGTCGATCTCGTCCAGCAGATTTCGGTCTGCTATCAGATGCTCCACATGCAGGCAGTCCAGCACCTGGCAGGCCGCGTCACTCTCCCTCCTACGTCACACCCTCCCTGCTCCCTGACCTGTTTGGGTATGTAGGGCAGATCCAGCCCGCTGATGTCGATCTTGAGGCTGATTTTTCCTTCTATCACCCGCTCCGTGATCAGCCGCCTCGTCTCGATGGGGATCCCCAACCTAGCTTTCCCTTGCAGTCTCCTTCAAAGTTCACCAAAGTCAAGAGGACGAAATGAAAGCAACTGCGCGCAGCAGGAGGAGACACAAGCATCGAGGCAAAGCAGCGACAAGCCCGTCTGCAGAGCTTGTCTTTGACAAGTTGCGCAGACAGGAAGTCAGCAGGGGGGGGGGGGAGGTGGTACGTACTCTTCGTCCACCATTACTCTATCAAGGTTCAAAGAGACAAGAAAGAAGGTTCAGAAAGCTCGCTGCTTCTCGTTCAAGGTGCAGATGATCGCTGCTTTACCCTTTGGCGTTGCTCTTCTTCTTTTCTCTCTTCGGGAGCCTGTCCGGCAGGTCGTCGTCGTCCGAGTCGTACACCTTCTGTCGTCTACACCAGGCCCCCCGCAAGTCAGTGAAGACAGCAACACAGGCACACTTCATCATCACATCTTGTACGGCCCCTCGTCCAGATCCTGCCATGATCGTCACCTGTCGCCCTCTGGCAGCAAGAGCAGAACCCACATGAACATCTGTCTCCGTCATCCCAGCGTCCGAGGGCCCTTCGTCGTCGGTGAACTCCTCCAGGACCGTCTCATCTCCCGCGGAACCCCTGCCACCATGCAGCTGCTCGTCAGAGCTGCTCTCCGAACACCAACATAGCAGAAGCAACCACTTCCTCCCAGCTTCTCCCCCTTCACTTCATCATCCTCCCTCCCTCCCTCGCCTCCCTTCCTCCGTCTCCTCCCCCCGTCTCCTCCTCCCTCACTTTGGATGGACGTCGTCCAGCACTGGGAACTGCGTGAAGCCTTCAGGGACTTCATTTCCCTCCAGGAACTCGATCCATTTCACTGTGGCAGGGAGCGAAAGCTCCATCCCGATCTCCCCCTTGAAGCTCTCGCTCAGCAGCGTGTCCTCCTTCTCCTGCCTCCTCATCGGCGAGCTGTCCACTCCCAGGTACGGCAACCCAACAGCAGGGGCAGGAAGCAGCGCCGCCGGCAGCCCCAGCGACTCCTCCCACTCCACCTCCGCCCTTCGGACGATCCTCTGCTTGTGCCGCAGCGTGCTCTTCCTCAGACGGTTTATCAGCTCCCGCGAGATGCCGAGGCCGCCCAGAGCGACGTCAAACATCTCCTCGGAGATGGTTCCGTCCACCATCTCCTCCTCCACCCTCCCGATCGCCGCGCGCATCGTGTGCGAAAGTTCGCTCGCCTGCATCTGCCCCATGTAGATCCTGGCGCGGATGCGGAGCAGCTCCTCCAGCGCGCGCGCGTCCCGCTCGTCCGCGTCCTTGATTGCATTCAGCCTGTTCTGCTGATCCATCATCCTCCTCGCCCGCCACCGCTGCTCCGCCGTCAGCCTCCGCTCCTTCATCAGCTTCTTCACGTGCCTCTCGTAGATGGCCATGGTCGGGTCGAGCTTCCCCTCTCGGAACAGGAGCGCTCCAGGGCGGTGGTCCTTGAGCAGGACGAGCAGGTGGGGAGGGAGGCGACTCTTCAGCAACCCCTGCCTCACCCCACGTGCCAACTCCTCCCTCAGCTTGTTGACCTGCTCGTCTGCCTTGTGTTGCAGCTCATCAATACGACGCAGGAGCACTTTGCCCTCGCTCTCCCCGACCCCCTCCAGCTCCACCTCCATCTCCCGTGACTTCCTGTACACCTTCAGGACTTCGCTCATCCTGTCCAGCCACAGGCAGATCTGGGGGTCGATCAAGCCCTTTTCCCACAACACGAGCAGAGGCTCTTCCGCTACGATCAGGTTCTGGACATGGCGGGGGAACCGCCGCAACTTCAGCTCCTGCCCTCCGATCCCCTTGTCCAGCATGCTGGCCAGCACCTTCTCCTTCACTATCACCCCATCAGCTATGGCGCCTTGGAGGAGCTCGATGGCCTGAGCCTCGCGCTCTGACCCGACACGTCCAGCCTCCACCTCATCGATGAGGCTCTTGGCTTCGTTGATCTTGCCGTCCACGGCCTCCATGCCGTAGATGGCTTCGCACACCGTCAGCTCCGTCAGCCCCTCCCTCCACAGCTGCAGCATCGGAAACTTGGCGCTCATGATGTTGCGGAGGTGGACGGGGAGGGCATGGCGAATGGGCTTCACCTTGTCGCTGAAAAGCTGCTTCCTGTAGACCTTCATGCGGTACAAGGCGTCCTCCAGCTGCTTCTGAGCTCGTTCCGCCATGTCGGCAGCTCTTCCCATCTCGCTATCCTCTGCGCTCTTCGTGCTCTCGAGCTTCTCGTAGGCCTGGTCGATCGATTCGTTGATCTCCACCACCTCCTCCAGCAGAGCGTTCAGCAGGTGCCTCTCATCCTCCAACAGGAGGGACAGCTCCTCGTCCGTGCGGCTCATGTCAAGTGACGAAGCAGCTCCTCCTTGCTGCAAGATCCGTTCCCGCCGGGCCGCTCGCTCCCTTGCCCTCCTTGCCTCCACCTCCATCATCTCCGTCTTGGCTTTCACGGCCTCGATCCTCGCTCGATCGTACAGGGTCTGAGCAGAGGTGGTCTCGGTCAGGAAATCCTGGAGGGGCTGGGAGAGGAAGTCAAGTCGGAGGTCGTTCCTCGCTCGGAAGGAGGTCCTTAGCGCTATCGTCCGGCTCTCAGCGTTCATGATCAGCCTCTGTGCGTCTTGCCGCAGACTCTCCGTGCCCAGGGCGAGCTCAGAGGCCTTGAGGAGGAGCTCACGGGCCTTGGAGATGTCCTGGTAGATCTCTCTGACCTCCACCACCACATGCTTTCTCAGCTTCTTGACCTCGTTAGCGATCATCTCCTGCGTCATCCCCACCTGCTCCCTCCCCTGCGTCTTGTGCAGCGTCTCCATCATGCTCTTGATGTTGAGCAGCATTGACTCACCCTCCTGCAGTCTCTCCTTGAACACCTCCTCGTCCCGGTACTTCGCCAGGTGGTCGGCGAGCTTGACGCTGGCCTCCTGCAGCCTCGAGCTGTCGTCCTCCGACGACTCTGAGACCTCAAGAAGAACTTGCTGGATCCAGTCTGAGTCGACCGCGACAGCAGCACTGTTCTGCTCCGTTCGCCCCACTTGCTCCCTCCTCACATTCGTCCTTATACTCCGACTGTAGGGAGACCCACTATCTCTTCCCCGAGCTCCTGTTCCATCCTGTCACTGCAAGGAAGGAAGCGAGAGGTCCTCCAACTCACCCTGGGATCCTAGGAGGAGCAACTCGTTCTTCTTCTTCAACTGCTCAAGGCGAGCCTGTAGGGGAGGTCAAGCTCCTCCGGGCCCTCGAGCATTCATCACCTCCAGGGAGTTCCTCTCGCTCGGTAGGTTGCGAATCTTATCCGCGTAGTTGGCATGAATCCGGCTCAAGACCCCTTCGAAGTCACTATCCACCTTGCCAAGAATTCAGATGGAGCGGAGATCGATCGTAAGGCTCAACAGACATTCTCTGCCTCTGTCTTGGATTCCGATCCGGATAGCGAGTCGAAGGACGCGCTCTGCTCGGAGCAGTCGTGAGCAGACTAAGAGTCTCGAAGCAGGATGCAACACCTTTGTGCTCGCCTTTCCCTGCTTTGAGAGCTTCCGCTTCTTCCTCGCACTCTTCAGTCTCCTGCGACTTGTCAAGGAAACGAGCGGTTGCTGCAGGAACAACACCTGGCACCATCCTTGGATCCCTTGGCTGACATCTCCATCATCATCTTCTTGACTTGTATCTCGTCTTTGTCAAGGTACTTCGCCCCTTCATCCTACCAATCTTGCTCACCCTCAGACGATGGTTTCTGGCTCAGTGTACCTTCTTCTCATCAGCCTCCAAGTTCGATCCGGGCTCGAGCAAGCTCGCGAGGACTCCCAGGAGTGTCTTGTATTTCTGTAGAGAATCAGAAGAAGAAAGTTTGTCTCTAGCTCACCTGAGGGATCGACGAGGCATTCAAGTCAAGGAAGAGCAAATTGTTCTCACTGCTCGCTGCTGTCGAGTAGCGGCGGATGCCTCCGAGCTTCGCTGTGGGTGCAAGACCATCACAATACGAGCATCGTCTCCTCCACGCTCCAGCACAATCAGTTCGCACCTGCATGTAGGCACTGCTTGCGAAGCCTGATGGCTTCTTCCTGCAGCCCTTTGACTTGAAGGGATCGCTTCAAACCTTCCTTGTTCTTCTCCGAGCCATTCGTTGCTCCTCCCTTCTTCACGTCGCTGCCATCGGCTGCTGCATCTTTCTTGCCTACCATCCGATCATGAGGACGAGAGCTTTCGGAAGAGCACTCACCCCCCCCCTTGCTAAGGTAGTCTTGCAGGATGACCTGCAGCAACGTCAGGCAAGCCAGGGGCCCTCACTCGTGCGCACGTTGTGCTTCTTGAGAGCATGCTTCATGATCCTAGCTTCCTTGTCGAATAACGACATACAATCAGAGGTCAAGATAGGAAGAACCTGTTGTTCCCATTCACACATCCAAAGGTATCCACAGTCCAAACTTACATCCAGGCCCTTCCGTCTGCAGTCCTTCTGCCAGTCCAGGAGTCTCAGCACAGCTTCAGTTTCAGGTTGGAAAGTGTCTTCTGTCGGGTCTTGTGAAGATGAGAGGACGCCATCAAACGACGATGCCGCCCGAGATTGAGCGAAAGTGCTCAGCCTGTCTAGAATGAAGATGTCTCGCTTTGCTGCGTTCCTGACTTCAGAGGGCGTGCTAGACCTTAGCGAATCGCTCTTCTTCCGTTTTGTGGCAGGGAGCGGCTTCACAGGACCCTTCGTTTCGCTCCGTCTGATACGCGGCAGCCTGTCATATCCACCCTCCCTTAGTTTCTTCAAGGCCTCTCGAGCATTCAGCTCGTTCTGCTTCCTCAGTCGCTGCAGGGCTTCCTCGGACACTCTCTTGGAGGTGCTGAAGCCGAAGATGTCATCGTCCTTGTCGTCTTCCTCGTTGCCCCTCTCCATGTTGGTTGAGAGGCTTGTAAATGCGTACCACACGGAAGCTATCTCCGCATTACAATAGTCTGCCTCTCTTCAACGCCACGACAGCCTTCAGTGCTGCCTCCTCCCCTCCTCCCTTGCTTGCCCTCTCCCCCATCGCTGTCCTTCCTCCCCTCTTCGTCTTCCTCCTCTGACCTCCTCGGATTCGCCATGAACGTACGAGTGGGTGGGGCGGCGCTAAACTGCCATGTCGTTGCGACCGTTACATCCGGCCGCTTGCACGGAACGGCGGCCCGGCGGGGCCCGGGCCTGCTCCAACTTTCAGTCACGGTGGCCGCCACTTGGAGTGGCCTGGGAGACTTTTACTCAAAGGTACAGTGAGACCAGTCTTTGACTTTGACAGAGTGACCAACTTGATTTTACCTATCAAGACTCACTTCCGCGCGGCTTACTAAGTTGGTCGAGCAGCCTGACGGTGGCGCGGCCCTGCCCGAGCCCGGGGTTGCCAAGCCCCCGGCTGCAAGTTAGTCGCTGAGATCGAATCAGGAATCATCAGCGACAAGTTGTGGGCTTTCTGAGCATATCATCCGATAGAAAACTTGGTAAGGAACACTCCCGAATCCGACATGCCAGTGAGAATCCAACATATTTAACATCAATTTACATTACAACACTGTGACATGAGTCAACTTGCCGGGCTCAGTGCATGAGTCGAACTAATGAGCGTCAAGGTCGATTGCAGTCTTTCTGTACGCGAACTCCTGAAGGAAAGCGTGAGGTTGTATAAGAGGGACCCCAAGGCTACTAGAACGATCATAGAGCCTCGGAATCAACTTGCTGATTGTCCATCATGAAACTTGACATGGAGCTCACCTGCCTCAACCTCCAGTACTCAGGGTTCGGCCGGAAGGACGTTTCATCCTCCTCTCTTCCATTGGGATTTGCCTACACGGATGAGGTCAGGAGGAGTGGCTCGGCAGCGGAGACAGTCTTGCGAACCTTGGGGCTGCTCTTGCGTGAGGTGTCGGACGAGTCAGCGGTCTCTGCATCCTCTGCAAACATCACGGAGATTCTCTTCTTAGAGAAGACGGGAGCAGAAGAGACGGTGGGGATGATCCTGGCAAGCTGATCCGATGGATTTCTCCGCCTTCCACTTGCTCCCTCCATGTCCGTGTCGAGGAGCCCTGCTGCTTGTAAGAGGGCCCAAACATGCCGAGCAGCCTCACCAGATTGCTTCATCAGCTTCCACAGCTCCCATTCGACAGTACTTTCATGCTTGACAAGCTTGCTCGTGGTCAACGACCCCTTGAAAGCTGAATCATGCTGTGATAAGAACGCGTAATGGGACGTCTTGGTCTGACTCTTCCCCCGAGATCTTCTCTCTTGTTGAGGACGGGTGGAGGAATTTCCACTCAGTCGCCCCTAGAAAGTGAAAAGTCAAGCTCATGCTCAGAACCTCCATAAGCACCAGACCTTCATGCGTTTGATCATCGCTTTCAGTGCGTGTGCTTGCACCGACCCGATCGAACTGATCTCGGATGCCTCCAGCATGTCTTTGATACACTGCACGTGAAACTCAAGAACAACACCGCTCAACTGCAACTGATATACCTCACAGAACTGCAAGAAAGTCAGGCGCCATTCTGACTTGACATCTTCCCCTTCCGTAGCATTCGAACGAGCCCACATCGAGAAGGCAAACAGTGCCGCGCCCTTCTCAATGTGATAGTGGAAGCCGAGCGACTTGATGAGGCTGAGGTAAGACTTCGCAGTGAGAACAGGTTGTAGCCAAGACTGCGCGTCTTCTTCTGAGAAAGCTGTTGCTGTTGCTCTAGACAGATCAGTCGACTGCTCTCCCTTGACGGAAGAGAGGTCGGTGATGTGAAGAGACTGATCTCCTTCTTGATTTCTTCCTGAGTCTGCAAAGCTGAGAGCTTTCTCATGAAGGAACGAGTATAGCTCTTCGACATCTCCTATATGCCCCGCAGATGGCTCGTGAACCGATTGAAGCTCGATCACGGATTGGGATGCGTCTTGGCTCGACAACTCCCTTCTCATAGCTGTGATCTGTGATAAAGCCAGCTTCTTCTGGATACAAAGGCAATCAGCAACATCGATTGCCTAAGATTGAATGACCTTTGCCTGAATAGCCCGCAACTCACTCTCCAAGTTTTTCAGCCTATCGTCCACGGGGGGACCTCCTACAGACAGAGCTTTTTCAGACACGTTGGAACGGGAGACCGTTGCCCACCTCCTGAACGGCTTCTTGGTCCTTCCTGGAGCAGAGCGATGTGATCGCTGCAAGGGTTCAACGTAAGTTGGATGAGGCACTTTCCTTTCTCAAACCTTAGCTCCTGACGAGCTTGCTTTACTTGCTTCACCTGTCATGACCAGGATCATTCCGCAAAGCAAATGTATCAGCCCTGATCTCACCTTCTGTCTAAGAATGCTCCGAGATTCGTTCTTGGCTACGGTGATATCTTGATTTAGACGTTTTTTTGTCTGGAAAGATTCCTTTTGTAGTGAGTTCAATCTTTTTTCTATTTGTCTGATGCTCGTTTGTTCATCTTGTTCTTGCTTCCATCCTGCAGGAAAGATGCATCGGATCACCATCATATCGAAGCTGCAAGTCAATCCTACCAGACTTCATAACTTGCTTGACTCTAGCCTCCAAAACTTCAACTTCCGTCTGAAAGACGTGCGAAGTGCCCTCGCGCCTACCCCGTTGACTTGAAGTTGATCTTGAGGGGGCTCTCTTCAGCTTCGTATGAAGGTTCGAGCTGCGGTAGTCCTCTATCAGTCCTCTCTCCAGCTCTGTCTCAAGAGAGCTCGTTCCAGATCGACCAGGAGAGTCCAGCAGCAAGCTGGCCATGTCGTTCAAGTCTAAGTTATCTATGTCCTCCGAGCTCCTTAGTTTGCGGGGATGGAGACTGCCCGACAGAGAGGTAGAAGGACGAGGAGGCAGGACCTCAGATGACCTTCTTCTCACCATAGACAGGGAAGAGCTAGGCCTCCTCATGCTGGCTTCTGGGCCATCCAAGGCTCCCCCACGCCTCTGACGCCAGTCCTGACGGTCCATTCTTTCCAAAACCATTGTGACTAGCCGTTGGACACATCCCCCTCATTCCCTCAGGCCTGGCCGCGCACCGGCTGGCGCACCGCCGGGGCCCGGGTGACCGACTCGGGTCGGACGGTCACTGGGTGCCACGGTGCCGCCCGGCGGCCCGGGTGCCGCACCGTCCGATCGGACGGTGACGGTGGTGGCGGCGTGCCGCGCTGCGGCGCGGCCGCAGTAGGCCCGGGACTCCGGCGGGTGCACCGTGGCAGCCGCCGCCGCGCAGTGGCTTCACCCCGGCGGCCGGGCGGCCGCCCTCCGGCGACGTCCGTGACGGTGGCAGCCGCCCGACGGGGGCCGCGCGGCGCGCGGCGCGCGGCCGGGCTCACCGTCGGACCGTCGGCCTGCCATGTGCCACGGTGCGGCCGCGCTCAGCGGCTGAGGGAGCCTGGAGGCAAGGCGCCCCGATGGTGTGGTGTGGTTGATTGGTCCTGAGATGCCTGGCTGTCGGACTGTCTCGGAGACAGTCCGATTCCGGGCGGCCCGGACGGCAGTGACGGTCACCGTGCACGGTGCTCGGAGCCGCCCGGCTCAGTGTGGCCGCCGCGGGCTGGTGCGAGTGCCGATTACGGTAACTAATAATAATGGCCCGGTGTAGTAGTGAATTCTCTGAACTTCTCTAAACTTCTCTAAACTACCCTACCCATCAATATCCAAGAAATAACAGGGTACTGCTTGGTCCACACCTAGCCACTGGCCACCCAAGAATCACCTACTTGACCCCTCCATTCTCCCATAAAAGTACCCACTTTTCCTGCCTCCCACCTCACCCCTACCCCAAATTCCCACAAACGGCTTGGCTTGACTTCTTTATACCCTTCATCACCCACCCCATGTATTAGAAGTGTCACCCCACCCACATTTTTTTCAGACGAAAGAACCGAACCCTATCATTTCCCAAGGAATGCAGATAAATAACCCCTATTTTGACATCTCTAAACCACCCGTACCCATTTTCAACCTCTTGCACGAGAAAACCTTTGGGGGTAGGGGCAGCGCCTGCCCTGATGGAACTCAAGCCCGAACAGCAACTACCCCTATTTACCCCCATCGTACCCCCCTCTCATCCCTTTAGATGTACCCACCCTTGCCTCTACCCACCCCCTCGGAACCTTCCAGATCAGTCGTTACAAGACGGTACAAAAAGTCGTTACAGATGACGTGTCCTCTGACGTGGCTAGACCGGGGTCACGTGTTCTCTTAGCTTAGCTTTCCCCCCCTCCCCATCCCACTACCGTCAGCCCCCCCGCCGGTACCTGCCATGCTCCTCCCGCGATGCATGTCGCCGCTGCCCCGCGTTTCCTCTCCCGATCAATGTGTCCTGTGCTTCACACTGAAGATGATACTCCTTGTGTTGCATGCTGATGTTCCCATTGCAAAGCTTTCGTCCCCTCGTTTCTTGCCGGCCTCCTGTTTTTGGGTGGCCTCCATTTGCTGTGGTGTGGTTGATTGGTCCTGAGATGCCTGGCTGTCGGAAATTCTCAATGAAAGCTCATCCAAGACTTGTACATTGCACGTGTTGCTCGCTTTCAGTCTGATTGCGTTTGAAAAGTGTGTCCGGGAATAGAGAGTCCAATGGAATGTTCTGGAACATTTTTTCCTGCACTTGCACATTTGTTTGATGTGTTGCATGCATGCATGAGGCTTCTTTGCAGTTCTTTTCTTTGTTTGGAAAGTCCGACCCTAACGACGTTTTTGTGTAGGTTGAGTAGCCGTAAGGTTACGATGTTCACTCGGAGGTCTGTCGCGTTTTTCGCAGCCTGTGCGGCACTAGTTTGCCTGGGCGTCAGAGCAGCTGAGGAGGGTCAGGTCGATACCACCATTGGTATCGATCTTGGAACCACCTACTCTTGCGTAGGTGTGTACAAGAATGGCAAGGTTGAGATCATTGCCAACGATCAGGGTAACCGTATCACCCCTTCGTGGGTTGCCTTCACCGACGACGAGAGGTTGATCGGAGATGCCGCCAAGAACCAGGGAGCCTTGAACCCTGAGAACACTGTCTTCGACGTCAAGCGCCTCATCGGCAGGAAGTATACCGATACCACTGTTCAGCATGACAAGAAGCTTCTTCCCTACGATATCGTTGACCAGGGGGGCAAGCCATACGTCCAGGTCAAGTTCAGGGGAGAGAAGAAGACTTACTCTCCTGAGGAGATTTCCGCCATGGTTCTCACAAAGATGAAGGAGACTGCTGAGGCATTCCTCGGCAAGGAGATCAAGAACGCTGTCGTTACCGTTCCTGCATACTTCAACGATGCCCAGAGGCAGGCCACTAAGGATGCCGGTACCATCTCTGGTTTGAACGTTCTCCGTATCATCAACGAGCCCACCGCTGCTGCCATTGCCTACGGTCTTGACAACAAGGGTGGAGAGAAGAACATCCTCGTGTTCGATCTTGGTGGTGGTACCTTCGATGTTTCCCTCCTTACCATCGACAACGGAGTCTTTGAGGTTATTGCTACCAACGGTGATACTCACTTGGGAGGAGAGGACTTCGATCGTCGTGTAATGGACTATGTTCTCAAGCTCTTCAAGAAGAAGTCCGGCAAGGATGCCTCCAAGGACAAGAAGGCTGTGCAGAAGCTTCGCCGCGAAGTCGAGCGTGCCAAGCGTGCTCTCTCCAACACTCATCAGCAGCGTATTGAGATCGAAGGGTTCTACGAGGGATCCGACCTTAGTGAGACCGTCACCCGCGCTAAGTTCGAGGAGCTCTGCATGGATCTCTTCAAGAAGACCCTTGGACCCGTCGAGAAGGTTCTCGATGACGCTTCCTTGAAGAAGAACCAGGTCGACGAGCTCGTTCTTGTCGGAGGATCCACCCGTATCCCCAAGGTTCAGCAGCTCCTCCAGGACTACTTCAACGGCAAGGAGCCCAACAAGGGAATCAACCCGGATGAGGCTGTCGCTTACGGTGCCGCCGTTCAGGGAGGTATCCTCTCCGGCGAGGGTGGCAAGGAGACTGCCGACCTTCTCCTTCTGGACGTTACCCCCCTCACCCTCGGTATCGAGACTGTCGGAGGCGTCTTGACCAAGTTGATTGGCCGCAACACTGTTATCCCCACCAAGAAGTCCCAGACCTTCTCCACTGCCCAGGACAACCAGCCCACTGTGTTGATCCAGGTGTTTGAGGGTGAGCGTTCCATGACTAAGGATTGCCATCTTCTCGGAAAGTTCGAGCTCTCCAACCTTCCCCCTGCTCCCCGCGGTGTCCCCCAGATCGAGGTGACCTTCGAGATCGACGCCAACGGCATCCTCCAGGTGTCTGCCGAGGACAAGGGAACTGGCAAGAGTGAGAAGATCACCATCACCAACGACAAGGGCCGTCTGAGCCAGGAGGAGATCGACCGTATGGTCCAGGAGGCCAAGGAGTACGAGGAGGAGGACAAGAAGGTGAAGGAGCGCATCGATGCCAAGAACTCTATCGAGTCCTACATCTACAACATCAAGAACACCATCAACGATGAGGACAAGATCAAGGGCAAGTTGAGCGATGAGGATAAGGAGACCCTCGAGGAGATTGTCAAGACCACCACCGAGTGGATCGACGAGAACTCCTCGGCCGAGAAGGAAGACTTCGATGAGAAGCAGAAGGAGGTCGAGAAGGTGGTGAATCCGATCATGTCCAAGCTCTATGCCGCTGGCGGAGCTGGTGGAGCTGGGGGAGGAGCGGCCGAGGAGGAGGAGGAGATGCCAGATCATGATGAGTTGTAATCTTATAATATTTGGGTTGAATAATGAACGGGTTGTTGTTACTCTGAAACTGTGCTCTCCTTCCATGAGCCCTCTGTCGACGTGTTGTTTCAGTGACACAACCGTATACAGCTGCTGATCTATGTTCACATGTATCGTTTGTTCCTGTGGTCTGAGTTCATTGCCTGTAAAGCTTCTCTAACAGAAGCTTCTTTCCTAACTCCTGCCAGTATCGTGTAATTTCCACTCCTTCCCAATGCCTGTGGCAGTGCAGTCAGAACCAACATCGTTGACATGCCGGACAAACAGATTCATGTCGCTGTTCAGCAGCTCCCCCATCTGCTTCAGACACTCCTCCTCTTCCCTCGTCATGCTCGCAACCGCAGTCCGCAAGTTCGCCTTCACTCCTGTCAGGCGCGTCGGGTCAGATGGCACTCACCTCCATGTGCTCTTGAGTAGCGAAGGAGATGAACGTCGTCGGCAGCCTTGAAAGGTGTCACTGGAATGCAAAGATGGTGGTAGCGATAGTGATGGGGATGGTGATGATCACAAAAAGGATGAGGATGAGGATGAGGATGAGGATGAGGATGAGGATTATCAAAAGGGGTGGGAGGAAGAGAGAAGGAGAAACTGCGAAGGATGTTGATTCTGATGACAGCTCACCTTTCATCTTGTAAGCAGAATTTCAGCGACAGGCTTGTAATGTCAACGTTCCTCTCCTGGCAGAACTTCGCCGCTCTGCTACATCTTTCCTTGATCTGCATACACTGTCACACAGCAAATTTGATTTTCTTTTTCTCGACCTGCTCCGACGCAGGATGCCACGCTGGAGGGCCTTGCCTGCAGTCCGATGGAGTTACGAGATCAGTCAGTAGGAGCGGGAGAGGAGAAGATCGGGAGCAAGGGAGGGGGCTGAGAGGGACAAGGGACAGGAGAAAGGAAAGGAAAGGAGGAGGAGGAGGAGGAGAGGAGGAGGAGGAGGAGGGTGAGGATGAGGATGATGATGA